GCAAGAGTCTCATTTCCATCCTGTATTGTCCAGGCAGCCACCTTCCTGTATCATCAGGGCTGCTTTTACAAAGGAGGGTCTGACTTTTGACTTCTTTCAACCCAGAGCATGGTCCAAGCATATCAACTATATATCCTAGCATTGGTTGCCCAAAATCCCAGTCCATTCATCCAGGGGTCCAGTCTTGCACACAGCAATAGCCTTAGAAGGCTGGCTTCAAATCCTGTCTTCACCATTTAATAATATTTGACTTGGATTTGTAAACCAATTGTTCATTCATTCATGCTTCTCTTCCATAAATATATTTTTAAGCAACTCTTCCATAGGGTAAGTGCTAGGGTAATACAGATGTAGATGGGATCTTCTCCACTGACACTGTAGAGTTTATCCCCGGAGAGAAGACAGAAACTGCAGTCTCAATCTTGTGGACTTCTATTGAGCCACCTATAAAATAAATAGAGATGTTATTCCTTACAACACCAGCATCTTCTTGGGCTTAAAAATAAAGCATAATAATAAAATTCTACCACATTTTGCAGACATTTGGGATATGAGAAAGGGAATATAAATTTAATGAATCTCTGCTATGTACCAGTAACTGAGCTGTTTCTTTACTGCTATTTTCCACTCTTATTTCATGCCATGAGCTAAGCTTTAGTATTACCATTTTGCAGATGGAAAAATTGCAGGGTACGATAGACAGAAAGAATGTTTTGATAGGTCATCAGTAAGTGTACACTGAGCGCATCCCTTATGCTAGTGACCAGCTGCATACAGTTGAAAGGCAGGATCACAGCAGGCTCATATTACTGTGATGTTGCTGCATCGAATGAGACTTCATAGGCTGGATGAAGGCCATTCAAACAGCAAGGCACTGGGAGCACATCCAAGGGAAACCTCACTAGTTTGAATGATAGGAAGTCCACTGAGAGGGAGTCACTTTAACACTGAGATGAGGGGGACTTTGGCATCAGGAAGGCCCAGAGGTGTATCCATTTGGAAGAGTGTGGGAAGCATAATAAGGCTGGACATGATAGCAAAGAGCAGAGAAGCCAAGGGATGCAGTGAGGGATCCTCTTGCCCACTTAGTTCACATTGTAGAATTTAGATTTAGCCTACAGATTAACTGGGAGCCTCCAAGTGGCTCATTCAGGTAGACAACAAGATCAAATGTCCGTTTTGGGAAGATTACTTTGACTGCTGGATGGAGAAAAGGATGTGTGGTGCAGGATGGAAGACCAATTAGGAACTTGTTTCAGCTGTCTTGTGGGAGGAGATGGAAGTGTAATGGACTAGAATAAAGAAGTTGGATACCAAACAAGCAGCAAACACTTTACAGTGAACAGAGAGATGGAAAAGGCCATGATGATTTCCACATCATTTCTGCTATGTGGCTGTGAGTATATGGTGATACCATTTACTGACTCCTGGAGAAAGCAAGGATGGGGCAGGTGTTTCCAAAGATGCTACTAGCTGTGCTGGAGCAGACTAAGACCATGCAGAAAAGATACCCAATGACCCAACAGAAACAGGCAGGCAAATGGGGAGACATCACTGAAACTGAGGATGCTGAGCAGAAAAAACTGGGAGAAGAACACTAAAAACAAGCTGAAAGCCAGGTGGAGGCCAGAAGGAAGCAGAATTGAACATAGGAGACCTAGAAGGCTAACTGGGGCTCATCTACCCAGTAAAGTGATGTAGTGGGAAGGTGGATCAGGTCTTAGTCTTCATAATTTAACCAAATGCTACCCAGGATAACACTCTCTTTCCTCTGAAGATTTTGACACTGGTGGTCTGAGCACTTGTTCCTCTCACCAAGAGGGATGGAGAAGCCAGAAGGAGCTCTCACTAGAAATGGCAAGGATTGGCCTGTCTTAGGGCAGGGTGGAGGACTGGCAAATGGATGTGGTTTTACAGTTCACTTACCCCCAAAATTAATTTTCCCTGGGAAGGAACAAAGTATGTTGGAAGTATCTTTTGGGTTCCTCATTTCTGGAAATATGAATCCAAAGTTCCTGTGTCTGGGGTGCTGATTGATACCTTATCAGATGAGCGCGCACACACACACTTCCCCCAGCCAAACTATGTATGTGGCTAAATGTGAACAAATGGCTCTTTGCAGGCTGTTACCTTGCTTTTCCTCTGGACTGTGTGAATCCCCAGGAGAACCGTGCCAGGCTTTCTCCTCCTGTGGACCCCTTTGATGAGGACACTATGAGTGAAGAGGGCCCATAACAGCATCTCCTGTCTCCATTTCAGTTTTCTGATCTCTCTCCCTGTACTAATGCCAGTGGCTCCCTGCTGTGCAGTTGTCCGAGTGACAAATTCACTCTTTCAAGATTCCAGTGCCTGATTCTATCAGATGCCCACAGCCTATGTACTTTGAGACGCCTGTGGGAAAAGCAGCAGTCTTGTGAAGACACAGATTACCTGCACATCTGTCTGGGTTTAGTTTAACACGACTGATTAATTTATCTTGCAGTGTGTGATTAACTTTGTAAGTCGACTTAGCAATTTCCTCAGCTCAGAGAATATTTAGAATAGATAGTGTGCATAGCAATAGAGAAAAAGATAGATGTTATTAATTTTTCCTTTTCAAATGTAAGATTGACTATAGAGCCTACATGCTATTCCCCTCAGAATATTGCACCACATGCTTTCTTGTTTAAAATGGTACAGTGTCAGAAAAGTGAAGGCTTGATCCCCTAGAGCCTGAAACTTGGGATAAGTGTGTTAGTGAGCTTATTCTTGGGATAAGACTTGGTATCAAGGCAATAGCGTGAATTCCTGATTTTACCAACAGCTGCTTCCTCTCCAATCTGTGAGCTTAGCTTGGTACAGGATGATGGATCCAGACTGGCAGGGATTTATTTTCTTCATTGTCACTCATCGTAAAACACTGAAGGGATAGAGGGACACCGATTTGAATATAAGGATGCAATGGTGAACCTCCAGAAAGCTGGAAATCCTCTTCACTCAACAGTATGTGGTGCAGCATTTTGCTAGGTGAAACAGTCCTGTATATGTGTTCTCCAGTGTGGAGACAACTGGTTAATTGTGACTATTCAGCGTACGTAATGGAACATACAACTAAGGGACTAAATTTCACTGATTTTTTTTGGCTAATGGCAACTTATTGGATAACACAAGTATTCTCTTTACCTTTTTCTAGGATAGAAAAGACCAAGGTCATTTGGGTGCATTAGTCTTAACTGATTTTCTGAATGCTGTTGCTTGCTCTAAGATTACTTACAAATCTTCAATTTAACAAACAACAATTGTCATAATAAAAATCATAGAAGGTATATCCCTGAGTAGTTACTATATGCCATGTACTTTCCTAAGAACTCTACACACATTGTCTCATTTATGGTCACTGAATAATGCTGTTATCCTAATTTATAGGTGTAAGTTTGAGAAATTAAGTGACTGCTCTGAGGTCACCTAGCCAGTGAATGGCAAAGCTGAGATTCATTCCAAGCTTTGACTCCAACCTGTTATATCTGCTACCAGTCAAGACATTTGTTAGTGCCATTTCTGGGTGGGTGTTTAAAAATAGTTATATCCTAGTTATAAGAAGCAACAGTGTCTTGAGATCATTAACAAATTGGGTGTAAACACTGGACACACATTCACCCTGAGCTCTGTAGAGTTTAAAGTCTGGATCTTAGCTGGAATGAAGGCAACAGTAACAATGACGGCACTCAGGTTGCACAGCTCAGCCTGGGCCTGGGCATCTCTCCTGTAGGTCAGAGCATGCAGGGAGATCTTTCCTGCCTGAGATCTAGGAAACTGATCTTCCACGGGACGCCTGGTTGAAGGACAGGCTGGATGAACATGCAGAAGTGAAGAAGAACAAGGAGATTGTACTCTTTCATTTCCCTGACCCTGACCCTGACCCTGACCTCTGTGGGGCAAACAGATGGGGCCTGCCTTCCTCAGTTCAGTCAGGGCCTGTGCTGTGTGGAGACTGGATTGGGGTTTATTTACTTCTCTGTCATTGCCCCTGTACTCTCTTGTGTCACTGTGCTCTGCGCCCTAGTATGTATTGCTCAACTGCTTACCTGTTTGACCTTGTGACTTAGAATTTGGGAAAATGTGACATTTGTGTGATTCGGTTCCTTATACACTTGCTATTCTTTGGGATTTTTGTCTCCTCTCTTCCCTTGCTAAGGTCACAAAGGGCACTGCTGGTTTTGTGTGTCTTAGTGGTATGATACTGCCTGGGAAGTCAGCTCTTTTCTCTGCACCTTTTTCGTCCTTTGGGACTTCTCAAGACTTAGCCAGTCTTGCAGAAGACTTTTAGGTTGTTCATTCACCTCCTCACCTGCCTGCCCACCTATGAATCTGAATTTCTTCAGGACTATCCATCTGCCTCAACTACTCTGCTATACCTTATAAAATGAACCAGCTAGTGAAGAATGGGCTGAGAGAAAAAGTGCTCCCATAGAGCGGGCATTCCTCTATTACTGGTAGAATATCAGAGTCCATAGGAAGGCTGGCAGAGTAGGCCAAATCCAAAGATGCAAACAATAGGCAAAAACAAAACTTGGGGACCTGATGTTCCTGGGATTTTTTCATGTCCTGGGCAGTGTCTCCATAATGGTATTAGCTATCCAATGGTAATCTCTTGGTGTGAGTATAATGGAAAATGTAATTTTCTTTAGCAAAACTTCACCAGCAAGTTTTATGGGGTTAACAAGATGGATCATGTCATTCTGTGGAGGATGATAACAACCGTATGGGCTGTACAGGTTGCTTTAAGAGCTGGGAGGAAGTCCAGATTCCAGCATCAGAAACACTGCTCACTCCAGGAATTCAGATTTTTTCTGTCCCACTCTGTTCTTGTGATGACAGCATCCTTTGTGCACTTTAAGTGGAAAGGGGCAGTTACACCATGGTGTGCCAGGGATGTTTGCAATGAGTGGGTTTGGCGATAACCCCACCCATTCAGGACAGTAGCACAGGGACTCACCAGTGTGCTGTGTGTTTTTTTCCAGCCTGCACAGACAAGGAGCTGAGGAATCTCGCTTCCCGGCTGAAAGACTGGTTTGGAGCTCTTCATGAGGATGCAAACAGGGTTATCAAACCCACCAGCTCTGACACAGCACAAGGCAGTAAGACTACTCTACTTTTACTAATTTACTTCATTGTAAATATTACATTTGCTGATTTGGTAGACATTATTGAGTTAGCAGGAGCATTTGAAAGTCAAGAAACTACATTAAAACGTACTTCAGTTTTTAAAGTATTAACATGTGGAGGACAGGATGATGCTTTAGAACCAAGGAAAATTATATATTTTTGTAACTGATTTAAAAATATGTTTAATATTATAGATTTTAGAAAATATACTAAATTTATTTAAAATTACATAATTCCACCATTGTATCAACTGTAAGCATGCTTTGGTATATACTTCAAGGTGTTTTCTTTATCATATATAAAAATGTATTTGTCTATGATTATAAAATTTGGGTCACGTTTTGCAGACTGTTTTGTAATCTTCTATAATTGTGACTATCTGCTCTTGTTGTGGAGTAGTGCTCTCTTTACAGTATCTACCTAGAATCCTAATGTATGTGTTTAACTATTAGACTAGACCTGTATTTGGGGATCATTAATGTTTCTGATATTCAGGGATATAAACAACCCTGTGGCACACATCTTTGATAATCTGTCTTTGTGCATACTACCCAGGTTGAATTTTGTTTTCCCTAGAGTGTCCTGGCTGCTTTTGCCCCCTCTCTCACCATTACCATGCCTCCACCTCAGAGAGGTACCACTCCTCAGCTGCCGAGTGGGCAGAATTCTCCCCTGTTGGCAGCTGGAGAGAAGACGAAAAGTGGGGCTTGCTCTTTCATTCTGATAGGTGGGGTCTCTCCATGTGTTCTACTCAAAGATGATGAGCGATGGACTTCCCCACCTTGGGACCAACAGGCACAGAATAGATTGCTGATCAACATCTTTGCTTAAATGCATGTGGTTCCGCCTAATGTGTTCACCGTAGCATCTTCATGTTACTTGATCAAAGGTAGAAACACATTGTTTAAAGCACAATATTTTGCCCCATTCCTGACTCCACACTTGTCTGGGTGGAAGTAGGTATCAGAAGTCACATCATCAACCTCTGAATTCAGTATGACCAGCACTAGTCTTCAACTGAATAAAACTGCTCTTTAACCAGTGGCAATGGTAGAATCCTACAGTCCCGGCTACTCAGCTTGAGCTCAGGAGTTTGAGGCCAACCTGGACAACACAAGGGAGATGAAAACAAAACAACAACAACAACAAAAATCTTTTTACTCTTTGGTTGTTATTTGCTGTTTCTAGCCTTTGAAAGATACCAGTGGAAAGTACTGAGACAGGGGTCATTTAATAGCTTGAATGTTTTACCCAAAAGAAGAGGGATAGAGGAATGAAGAAAAGGAAATAAAAAAAATTAAGGTGTGTTATGTATCTGTACTAAGTCTGCATGATGAATATAATTATTATGTACTGTAACATGCAATAAAGTGAAAATAAATTTAGAAAAATGGAAGCAAACACTGAAGTGGGGGGAGTTTGGAAATAGGCAGCGATTGCTTCCTGGGATCTAAAGTGTTCTGAAGGTGGTTCTCAGTGATGGTGTCTGCAGGAAAGGTGAAACGGGACAGTTATTTGTTTGTTTGCTTTCTATTCTTGCTGGAGGTTCCCTGGGAGTTTTTGGACAATTAATTTGCAGATAGTAGAGAAACTTTTTCTCTAGGTCCTCAAGGAGCAGACTGGCCCTTGAGTTTTCTGAACGGTCGTTCAGCATGCAGCAGATTGACCAGAGGAGAGCAGCTCCGTGTAACCTGCAGTCCCCAGAGGCTCCTTCTGCAGACAGCTGGGAGCCTGCAAATGACTGGTTTAGCCAGGAGCAAATTGAGTCCCCAAAGAGGCGTTCGGTTTGATGTCCTAAAGCAAGTGAAGGGAAGAAAATACAAGGAATGCTGGATAAGCCCACAAGGCCAAGAAGAGAATGACGGTTTTATCAGTCTGCAATTCTGAAAGAGCTAAAACCTAGGTTGCACACTTGAGTCCACCGGGATCCTCTGCCCTTGCAGTCACAGACACCCTATCCTAGACCCTTGTGAGTGGGAAAGTGTGTCTACTGTCCAACTAGCTTGGCATTTCTTTCTGGCTGTCTATCAGCAGTAAACTACTCTTTCTTGTGTATAAAATTGATTCCAATTATATATTCTATACACAGGTATATAATAATGTCTAAGGACATCATTGGTACAGAGACAGTTTATAGTCATGACATTCAATCAAAGATCCATATTATGTCCCATGGCCTCTTTTGAAATATGGGGGATTTTCTTTTTAAAAAAGTGTTCTAAAGTATCAAAATGAGTAAGTTTTAAAATGCAAATATTTTATGTTTGAAAGGGTTAACTTAAAGATACCCAGAAAACTTCTCACGGCAAATATTTTTATTGATACTACATGGCTGTCATGGCTGAGGCTACTGAAGGAAACAAGGGAGTCTGTCTGCAGGGAGCTTACAGTCTTATTAATAAGCATCAGTAATAAGGGAAAGCACAGGCTTCTACTGGGAGCTCAGAGGAGGTGCTGCTGAGCTCTGGACGTGGAAGTCCTTTCCATAAAAGGTACTGCTTTAGGCAGGGTGGGCAATTTTGCTGTGTCTCATATATTGCTGGTCAGACAAGGATTCCTGGCAGCAAATGTGGGAACCAATGGCCATGCTGTTCATCAGAACCATGGGAGTGGGCCATCTACCCCACCAAGACTGGCCAAGGCAGTCTCTGTACTGCTGTCTCTCACCCATCTTTCCCTGATGTGCCACTGTGCACCTAAGTATGGCCAGATCCACTAAGGTAGAAGGGAGCCTTGCGAGAAGAGGTACTGAAGGTGTAGACTCAGAACCAGGCTTTCTGGGTTTGAATTCCAGTTCTAGAGTTGTGATTTTGAACAAGCAAGCTCTGAACCTTATTCTCAGATTTGTAAAGTGGGGATGATATGGTACCATTTGGCAGGATTGCTGCAAGGATTTAGTTAGAAAAATAAAGTGCTTGTAAGAGTGCTTGATACGTAGCAACACAAAAGTTCATCAGTATGCCAGGAAAATGAGCCCAGTGTTCTAAAGTATCAAAATGAGTAATCGAGTGTATAGAGTAACACAAGACTGTACTATGCTGTTGGCTCTGAGAGAAAGGGACGTGGTAGATTTGGGCCATGCCTCTTCTGGGGTTCATATTGTCATCTCAGTATCTCTGGTGTAGAGATAAGTGTTATTATTGAAATCCATAGTTTCTATTTTGAAAAGAAATAATTCTTTAAAAAAGCTATTTCCCCTCCCATGGATGGGGAAATGAGAAAGAAATTATTGTCTTAGTTCATTTGGGTTCCATCTCATGCATCTCATTAGGGGATTACAGAGAAGGAGAGAGGACAGAAGCAGCACCTGGCTTGTTTTGCCATTAGTGTTCAGAATGCTTGGATTTAACAGTCCTCTGGGACATAATCAGTGCTTCTGGATTATGCTGCATCGTTTTATTTCACTGGTATTTATTATGCATCTTTTGTTTTGTTTTCATTTTCCTCCTAAGTATAAAGGTATAGCTTGCAGAATAACTTACATTTCTTATTCACTGTGCTATATTTTTCCTTTTAAGCATACTCATTTTAAGTAAGTCTAGACAACAAAACCATATTCACATCACAAATGTGAGCATTGGGGATTTGTTCCCTTTAGAACATAGTTTTCTCAAATATTGATTTTGTGCATTTTTATATGTTTAGTTTAATAAACAATAGCAAAATATTCTAGCATGCCACTGAGACTATTCAGGCAAGGCAGCAGTTGGAGGGTGCTCTTCTTATGGCAGAAAGCTGCAAGTTCAGGGTGGCGAAGTCCAGGATGACGGATGGTGGCAGAGATGTGCATTTCTCCCGCAGGGTTTGACACCAGCATCCTGCCCATCTGCAAGGACTCCCTGGGCTGGATGTTCAACAAGTTGGATATGAACTATGACCTTCTGCTGGACCACTCAGAGATCAATGCCATTTACCTGGATAAGTATGAGCCGTGCATCAAGCCACTCTTCAACTCTTGTGACTCCTTCAAGGATGGCAAACTCTCCAACAACGAGTGGTGCTATTGCTTCCAGAAGCCTGGAGGTATGTCCAGAAAGAAGTGAGGTCCAGATCCCAGTTTACCTGTGCAGGCTTGGGAAGCCTAATTCATACACAGCAAGGTGGCAGAATGATCAGGGCACTAAAAGCACAGCTAGAGAATAAAGAATTCAACCCACTGAATGGTAGGCCCACAGTTTCGTTTCTAATACATCTTTACTTCTAACATAGTATATTAGAAAACTAAGTATATCATCAAGGAATCTTTTGAGTTGTTCCTTCCTTTAGAAAAATTTCCCAACTATACAGTATCTCAGTATTTTCATCTATAAATTGGATATACAGAAGCCTCCCATACATAATTCCCAATGACAATTTGAGATTCTCAGTGTGGAAAAATACTGTAAAAATATAAGAATATCATAATGCCTTTTGTCACACAAACATTTCATGTTCCCCTTAAAGAAAGGCACTTGTCTATACGTTTATACTTAATGTTTTAGACATTAAGGATATTTTTAGATATCAAGGATATTTTAGACATTAAGGATATTTTGGATATAAATGCCAGTTAATGAAGGAAGATTTTGGGGAATATAGGAAAGATTAACTAGAGTCAGACAGGAGACACATCCTATAGAGCTGTTTGGAGCAGAAACAGGAGTCCAGTGGCAGGTGCTCTCGATTCTTGTGAGGTGCCTTGGGTCTGGATATGAAGCTGTCCATCTCAGCTTCCAGGGGACTGTGACCATGACCATCCACAGTTTAAGGCTCCAACAGACACTGGCTGGCATTTGCAGTGCAATCCTGATACCCAGAAACAGTCTGGTCCAGCATGGGTCAGGGATCTTGGTCAAGCGAGGGCTGGCAGGCCTTACCCACAAGACAAGACAATAGTTACTGAGAGTGTGTACATTGTGCATGTATGCCTAGATAATATAAGCATACAGCACTGCACTGCAAAAGGACATGAAGTGAACACGAATGTGTAAACACATTACAACACACAGTGCTAGAAACAGTTACCATTCAGAAACCATGTGACTCTTTAAATCTGAGCATTGTCCCCAGTCTGGACTCTAAAGAAATCGTACTGGTTTTCACTCACCAAAAATGCTCAAGAATTCCTCTTTTCCCATGGTGTTATGAAACTTTATGATCATTGCCTATCAGTAGGCTTTATTTCATTTCTCTTACCACATAGGTTGAATATTTTTACTCTTCTTCGCCACTCAGATTTCTTTGAAATGCTGTATGTTCTTTGTACCTTGTTTTCCTCTTAGACTCATATATTTTCGTTTTAATAGTAAATTCTGTATTAAGGAAATTGGAACTTCCATAATCATAGATATTACAAATATTTTCCCTCCTTTAAACTTCGTACACTTTTTACTAGGGAGATATTTTAAATTTTTAAACAGTTAATGCCTTCACTGCTTTATTCTCTGGTTTGTTTGAAGCTGTAAAGCTTACATTAAGCTTAGAAAGGTATTTATCACTTTAGATAGTAAAGCAATTTTCTTATGTTTTCCTCCATATCTTTGGTTTTATTGTTTAAATTTTATATCAGTAGGCTTTTTGTGTGTATATACACAAGCAAGATTCCAGCCTCTTTCCTCAGCCCTCGAAATGAGTATCTAGTTGCCTTTCTGTCATTTATTGACAAATTTATCTTCCTCCCAGCAATTTGGGATACCATCTATAACTGCAATTGTGCACCACGCGTGTACCCATTCATCTTACGTGTGTTCTCAAACACTCTATCGTCTTCATAGACCATTTCTATACATTTAAATCATAGTTGTTATATAGTATGTGTTAGCATCTGCTAGGCCCCTTCTTTCTTGCCATTAATCTTTTTTTTCCCCAGAATTTATTTTCCTGGAAATTCACATGTTTTTCTTCCTCTGCAAACTGTTTTTCCATTTAAAAATAAGTTTCTGCTAGCTGTAGAACACTGAATTCTGTTATTTTAGAACAGTATTTGTCTGTTCAACCAGTGTTACATTTTTAAGTTTTGTTCTCACCATTTTCTTTGTGTTATTAGTACCACTGGAAATGAACAGTTTTTCCCATTATGGTTCCTCACTAGTGGTTGTTTCAATATTAATTTTGTTTTTAACTGCCTTACTAAATTTCCATTTTGTTTATGACTTATTCTGGTTGCTTTGCTTGGGTATCATCTGCAAATAGAGAACAATCTTTCTCTTTTCAGCTTTTACACCTCATTTCTTTCTGTTTCCTAATTACATCATCTAGTAACTATAAATTGACATTAAATAATACCTACATTTTATACTTTTTAATAAATACCTTAGTGATGCCGCATTAAGCTTAATTCTAGTTTTAGGCTTGAATTCATCTAAAATCATGTGTGTTTTTTAAGCTGTGTTTCTTAAAGAGCCTGAGTTTGAAAGATGCATCTTGATGTGCGGTACCAGGGAGAAGTGACAGCCTTACTCACAACGTAGAGCCAGCCACTTTGCTGAGGCTGGCCCTCAGGATGGGTTGCCCTTTCTGCCACTGCTCTGGGAAGCTGGGACCCTTCACTGGGGCAAGGTTGTACATGGATTCATTTAGCACAGTAATTTGTTCAAGTTCTTCACATCTCATTTTTTAACTGTGGATTTCTCTCATTTTCCTAATACTTTTATTAGAGCCTCATTACCTCCCTCCTTGCTCCATAATCAATTGTGGGATTTCTATTTTACTTCCATATTAATTGAATTTATTTTATCTAGAAACGAAGAGGATGCAAAACATGAGGATGAAGTCAGATTTAGTGTTCTCTGTTTATTAGCATGTATTTTGGAGGTCCAGATTTTTCTCTACAGCGCTGCTTTAGTTAGTAACTATAGGTATAGATTGTTGATATTTTTATTATGATTAACTTGGTGATTTTCCACCGTAGGGGTCCTGAATGTGTGTTTTTTTTTTTTTTTTTTTTTTTTTTTTTTTTTTTTTTTTTTTTTTTTGACTGCAGATGAACTTAAAACAGCACTCTTAAAGGGGAGATCATTTTGAGAAGTTTTATCATCATTATTATTATTTTGCTAAGTTTGAATTTCACAATTTGTTTTTTCTACAATTCTCTTGGTAGTTGCCTTTCTTCAATGTTTGAACTATTTCAGTTTCATTTAGCCTTGAAAAACCAAGTATAAACTTTCTGGAGTCCTACTTTTTTTAAAAAACACACTATTCTTCTATTGATGTAGCTACAAAAAATGTAAACCATTATAATATTCTCTATTTTATTCATGATGTAAGCACTTTGCCTGAAAGCCGAAAGAATTCTGTGTGCTTTTCAAGGACATTAATTCCTGGGCCATATTTTAATCATGCTTAGCCTGTGTCACTGTCCTTTTTTTTTTTTTTTTTTTTTTCCTGAGGTATGTTATGCATCTTGAAACTTTAGAATTAAGGTTTTTTTTAAGTTTCAGAAAACCTTTTTAATGTATACCTTCAAAAACCTTTTTCTTCTGTCTGATTAATCTTTTCTCAGGAATACCAACAACATGGGGGTTTTATATAAGCTTTGCAGTTTTGGATATGACCTTACCTGTCCAATTTTCTTCTTTTGTCATCATTTTCTCCTTGAGCCCATAACACTGTGTATTGAACTGTAGTCTTACACATATATTTTCCATTACAATCCTAGACTTCTGAGAGGAACCTATGGAAATCATTGTCATCTGCTCAGCAACAAACCCTGTATGTTATGAAACTTTCATCCAGAGTTTTCTTGACTAAATTTAGTTGGATTAATTTTTCATTATCTTTAAAATTTCTGTGCAATAGTTTAAAGGATCTTAAAATTAGAAACTTACTTCACAGTGAACTGTCTGACCCAATGCTTATATGATTTTGCTTTTCCTCCTTTTATAGAAGCATTATTCTAAACACCTATAATTTCTTCCCTTTCTGCACAGTTAAAAGATGAAAAACTCCACTTACAAAATAGGGATAATATCAGTCCCTGTTTTATTGTGGCGTTTGTGAAGAGTAAAGACATATAAAGTTCTAGAACAATACCTGGCACCTTCTAGCAATTCAGCAAATGCTGCCATAGTAAATGCTCCCTTTTATAATAACATAAGCAATTTGTTTCTCTTTTTCTATTGTAATTTTCAGCTTGGAACTTTCTTCTTTACTCTGAAAGCATCTGAAAGTCATAAGTCAACAAATGTGTTTTGCAACAATTTCTCTTGCAGAACAAGCAGCAAGACCAGGTGGCACAGTAATCTACAGGGTAATAGGTGCTCAGTTTCTTCATCTGTTTGCATGGGACCTATAGAAAGAGGCAGTGAATGCCAGCTCTCATAACTGAGAGGACAGGACATGCTGCCATACCAGGGTGACCTGGAGCAAGCAGCAAACCCTCCAGAGACACCAGGCTTGCAAAGGCATGTGATGGTCAGTCTCCAAAGGATTTGTGAGGTCTTTTGCCATTGTGCTTGGAATTGTGCATTGTTCTTTTCTGAGGAGGCAAGAGTGCCATATTCTTCCCTACAGCCCACGTTTAGCCATGTGGCTTCCTGTAGCATCCTTTGCTGGCCCATACAATATATAACTTACATCCGAGGACTCTGGCTGAGAGGGGTGAAGAGAGCTGCCACACTGTCAGTGGGGTGGTGACAAAATATAGGTAAAAGTCATTCTCTCACTTGTTCTTCACACTGTGTCTCCAGATCTCTTGTGCATCTTCCTAGTGGTCTCTGGAGGCCTGTGTTTTACTTTCTTAGGATGGTTCCAGTCCTCTTTCTCTCCTGCCACAAGACCTAGAATAAATTAAGTACTTGTCACCTTTGGTTAGCTATCTGTGGCTTTTAGGACACTTAGGCTTCGGCCTCAGTTTCCACTTCACAGAAACCCTAGCTGGATGCTGCTATCTGACACAAAGGAGAAACTCCATGGCATGTCACCTAATAACACGTGGTGTCCACTGGAGCTGATGAGAGCAAGGAAATGTCCTACACAATGCAAGTAAACCTAAAGTGCTATTTTAAGTATCTTGTGGCATGAGGTTATTTTTTTAATTAGTAACACTAATGGCCTGAATTTGCTTTGCTGCATATAGCAGCATATGGAGCACTTCTACTCCCAGGTGTGTCATTGACTTCATTTCATATCAAAAGTGAAGTCAATCAGTAGAGATTATATCCCATACCATCTGGAAACTGACTTCCATAAATTATTTTTTAGGTCTCCCTTGCCAGAATGAAATGAACAGAATTCAAAAGCTGAGCAAGGGGAAAAGCCTGTTGGGTAAGTATAATTTCTTGCCACCTAAACAACAATTAAACCATCCATGTCTCTTGTAATGTTCTGCACTCCAGTGGTTGCTTGGTTAGGGCCAGTGTCTCATTACAGAAACACCTCTTTTACCCAGGCTAAACTTTTTCAGACACTGGGAATATGCCACAGATAGCTAGACTTGAACAGACGATTGGCTGCCTGGCTGACAACTACCACATTCTTTACCAGCAAAAGAGAGACCAAAGATCAGACTCAAACCTAGGCAGGACTAGATTGCAGGACCATCTCTATCGTTAACTCTCCCCAGCTGTAGACTGCAAAAACCTCTGGCTTTCTCCTTTTCCAAATAAAGCCATTTAACAGAGTTAACATGTGTTCTTTCCATTGATAAAATATAAAGGCTATCACTCAGAGCATTTCTTATTCCTCAGAACAAGATGTCTGTTCAAGGAGGATGTTAAGCTGTACCTTCCCCTCCTCCGGAATTTATCAGATAGGATGGAAAGGCTTGCCTGTATTTTCCTGTATTTCTTAGTTTTCACCAAATCCCTGGAGGAAGTGGTTCTAGCTGTTGAGACCCTGCTCATCTCTCCTCTGCCATGAAGACTGAAGCAAGCAGAGTGTGTGTTTCTAACATGCACACTGGCGGCACAGTAAGGGTAACAAGGACCAGCCTGCCTGCGTATTCCCTTCTGGCCCTCCTTGCTCCAGCGCCGAGGGGAAATGGGGGCATTTAGACCAGGCCATTAAGGAGACACCAGCAAACCTCATTTTCTGAAGAGAGACTGCTTTGCTTTACTTGCTTTTTTGAAAAGAGCTGACAGCTGCAACACAATAATTGAGAATTATTCTTGTTAAGTATTCAGAGGCAGGTGCATTCCCTAAAGCAGCCTGCCATTTCAGAAGTTTATCTATTTACTTGAAGGAAATGGGCAACTTTTCGTGCTTATTCCCAAGTGCAGGCAGTCTAAGAATTCTGCCAATTTCTCTTCTGAAATTTTGGGTTGCCTCAAAGAGCATACTCTTTTCTTGTGCTTTTGAATTTACTTATTTCCTTGACTTGCTTCATACTTTTGACTTCTGAAAACAGGTTATTCAATTCAGAAAACACCCAAATTATCATGATTTTTCCAACTCCAAAAGTCTAAATTCTTCTCTATAAAAAGCTATCTCTTTAGCTTGAAGGTACAGTGGCTAGATCCATCCTCTAGAGGTTTTTCCAGGACAAAGACTTCTATTGCCCTGCAGAATGTTATTTTGGGTATAAGTTATATACCTAAGATCTACAGTAATTATTTAATATGTATCTTGCTTTCAAAAATGTTTCTGTGGCGTGTGGATACCTTGTAATTGCCTCCTCAGTTAGTAATTAGACATTTGTAAACTATGTCATCTGAGATACCTCATCTTCCATTTACTTCAGCACACATAAATGGAATGCCTACCGTCCTCCTACCTGAATCCCACCTTGTCTTTTCACATCTCCCACAGATGGAGATTACCTTGGCTGACTCATAAAAATGCTGTTTATTTGCTTACAAATTATTGTCTGCATGGGAAAATCTCCTAATATAATAACTGTGTATTCAGGGATATTCAGATTCGAATAAATAATAAAACAGGAAACAACAAATTATAATCAGCTGTAATTACTACCTACTTAGAAAAAGCAGTAATCTTATTAAATTACAGATTTAGTGCAGCACTGCTTCTTCCCGACCTGGGGGCTCAGCCCAGTTTTTATTTATTTTTGGTCTATTAAATCCTGTTGTTTTTAAACCACAGCTCAAGGAGGTGAGATCAGCATTTTCCCTGCTCTGGTTGTTCTCTTTGTACTACTTGATTAAGAAGCTCTTCACAGATTTGTTGCTTGGTTCTGAGGACTATGGAAAGCATCCCCTTTTTCATTCCCTTCTGCTCCCTGAAAGTGAAGAATGAAGGACAATACACTGTGCCTGGGGTGCCTGGGTACAAAGGTAGCATCACCCAGAATCTCTGGGCCCCAGCAGCCTTTCCCGAGGGCCGTACATAGTGTTCAGGGCCCCCAGGGCCACCGTCCCATGCACAATCTGATTTCATCTCTAGGAAGTTGCTCATCTTGGAAGAGCCTGGTGAGTAGAGGGTTTGAGAGTAGATCTAGGTATCAATCCTGGCTCGAACTTTTAGAAGGTCGCCCCCTCTCATACTTTTTTCCCATGATATCATCTCATAAAATAAAAGTTGAAGTTGAAAACTCTGTCCTTCTAAAAGACATGGGGAAGAACAATTAGGAAAAACAAAAGCATAGTGGTAAGCAGGAACCTCTATTCTTAGGAAGCTGATATATAGAATACTGTTACTCAGCTTAAACTAAGAAGCACACAAAGATGAATCACACTCACATACTTTATCAGGAAAATCAAAATGAAACCTGTTACAAATAAAGATTGCCCACTGTTGAATAAGAATCAGAGTCACGTCAGACTTTCCATTGGCAACACTAATTTAAGAAGAGACAATAGACTTTTAAACTTATCCCAATTATTGTTCAAGTATGGTGATAGTTATTCTCAATCCATCTAAGATTTAGCTTACTAAAATTCACTAAAAGGTTTATTCTATCACATAAATGATCCCAGAAGTATCCAGCTGCAACTGTGAAAAATAAATTCTACTAAACCTAAATATGTATAACCTATAAAAGTATTTTGATAGGAAACTAGAATTACAATTACAGATTTTTGGGGGCAATCAGAAAAAGGTGGTAAAATGTGTTTGGGGTTTATTCAGTGAGAAAAAAGTGCAGACAAAATAGTATATATAGTTTGTCATTGTACAAGTGAAACACATGTTGAAAACTTAATTTCCACAAAAGGGAGGAAATGAGGAAGATGATAAAGAGGAAAAGGAAATATGGTGGCAGAAATAAGAGAAACTGATCTATAATCACAATGTGAATGGGCCAAATTCCTTTGCTATGAGACAGAAACAATAGACTGGTAATTTTGAAAATAAGTTACATCTAAAGTAGTTCTCAGAAAGCTGAAATGAAAAGATGCTAAGTGTTCTTTTGTATAACAGTGTTAATATCTGACAATTGCAAATACTAAAAAACAAAATGATACAAGAGTGTCATCTCACCAAAATGTTCCTATTATGTTACCAATCGATATACTAAGTAAAACAAAATATAACAGAATTGCAAAGAGTAACTGCTATAATCACAGTCAGATTCAGAGACCATCTTTTCTTGAAAATGACAGTTTAAGTAGATTAAAAAAAAAGGACAGAGGAGTTGAATAGCATGACTAATTTACATTCATACTTACATATGTAGTTTTAAAACTGGGCATTAAAATAGACCTCACGTGCACACAGGAACTGGAAGCAGTGGCACATGCCTTTAGGCTGAGGCAGGATTATTGTGAGTTGGTACCAGCCTGGCCTACATAGTGAACTCAAGGCCACCCTGAACTACATGGCAAGACCTTGTCTCAAAAAACAAACAACAATGAAAAAACACTCGCAGGCAATATCTGCCATGTACTATACAGCAAAAGAAAACTCAAATTTCAAATAACCACAGATCAAATTCCCTGATCACAACACAGTGATAATAGAACTCAAAAAATGAAATTATAGAAGCTCCATATATTTGGGGCTTTTCCAAATATTGGTCAAACCTGAAGTAAAGTAACTACAGAATATTTAAAATTGAAGATGCTGAAAGCACTATGTATCAAATCTATGGAAATGACTCGAGTAAAATTTAGAGGAACCTCTATAAATGCAGCTACATTTATGAAAACAAAAGATCAAAACTAAACTGGATTTTCAACTCAAAGTTTAAGAACACAATAAGCCAAAATTATTAAGATCAAGCAGAAACAATGAAATAAAAACAATAGCATATTAAAGTTTTTTTAATGAACCAATGAAATAGAAATCCATGACAGTATGAGGTGGGAAAGTTCCAATATTGTCACAAAGTTAAATGAGTGATATAAACTAAGTTAGAGGGGACTGGTCCTCAGAGTTCTCAGACCTTAGTTTGGAAGGTTTATCCACGTAGAGACTACTGGACCCAAACTCCTAAATTTCTCACTCAGTGTTCTTGAGATTGGAATCCAAAATTTCCATTTCTAAGGGACTTTCAGATCATTCTGCTAGCCCTGGGGCCAAACTGTGAGAACAAGTGCTATCCTCCAATTGTAAAATTATAAAACAATTATAAAACTATAAAACAACTATGAAAGCTGAGATAAGATACTCTCAAGTGTCAAGTTTGGTTTGCAAATAGGGCACAAGAGATCAAAACTACAAAATTAATCAAAATGCTGCTCTTTAACCCCACTGGCTCAGAATAGATTTTTCCTGGGAAGGGGGTGAATCCTTCAAGGAAAAGACCATTGTTTTTTACAAATGTCTAAATCTTTTATTAATGAGGAACTTTGGGAGAGAACTTACAAGTCTTTATCACTTAGTAACATACTTGCAAAAGCACTTACTAATATTAGCAATAATGTTCCAGTAATGATGTATCATGACTGGGAAGTGTCTACTTCAAGAAAGCAGTTTTTCTAATATTATGCCACTAGTAATTCAAGAGTATATAGAAGATTAAAAAAAGATTCTTTCAACTGTTAAAAATGAATTAGCAGTAGTATCCATGTATGGTTTAAAGGGAAAAATAAAAGCTCAGTAAAGAAGGAATAGAAAGAATTCCAAGGCAAAGCTAAGATCAGTAGTGTGATGCTAATGTATCACTTTTTTTATCTGTAAATACCAACACCTTTGATGTTGAGATAGTTCAATGGAACAACACAAGCAAAGCATTCAGCTGTTACCAGCTTTGTTAGAGACATGATAGCAGTAACAGTGAATGGCATTGTAAAGTGTGCTGTATGTATGGATTGTAGTTAATGAAATGGTTGTTAGTGTTCAGCAGTGAGTCAGAAATTGGAGTCAGAAAATTGATACATTTAGAAACCTTTATAGGAATTTCACAGAATCATTTTATGTGGTTGGACCAAATATTGTCCTTAACAGATTGGAAGCCAAACAAAAACAAGTTCTTTACCATGAGAGTTTGAGAAGCATTACTTTGGATTAGAGTCAATGATGTGAGTCTAGACATGGTGTTTATTTGCAGGTGCTTTGGGTAGATTACTTAGTTTTCCTGTATTTCATTCTCTTATTTACTAAAAGGTAATGCTGTTACCTCTCTCCAGACTTGGGGCAATAGAAACTGTGTGAACATGTGTATAATTTAGTTTGGTATCTCAAATATACATAAATATTTAACACATACTAACTATTATTGAGCCTGTTGGAAAATTGAATCTCCTTTGAGTTCAATACATTTGAGCTCCTAAATACTCAAGTCCCTATCATGTTAATGAAGTGTTAACCAACCAGCCCTATTCTCTCCAGCCAGCCCTGTAGCCAGTATTCAAACTGATGAGTGAGTTCTCCTCCCTGTCCTGACTAATATTAACCCTGACTATCTCTGTGTGTCTCTCATTTGGACCTCTTGTTTCCCCAGGGGCATTCATACCGCGGTGTAATGAAGAGGGCTATTACAAAGCCACACAATGCCATGGCAGCACAGGGCAGTGCTGGTGTGTGGATAAATACGGGAATGAGCTGGCTGGCTCCAGGAAACAGGGCGCTGTGAGCTGTGGTGAGTAAGGCCCTCTCCATCAGCTAGTTTATCCATCAACCCTTAGTGTATAAGGATCGCGGCAGATACTGACAGGTGGCTGTATTCTACGATGAGTTTACAAGGGGGCACACAGAAACCCTAAGTTACAGCCACTCACGCATTGCACAGTATAGCACAATTTTGGAAGTGGCAGGAACCTACCATGTGAGAGTTAGGATACTAATACAGGCCTTGGATATCTTAGGCTGCTATCACCTTTTACTTAGGATTAAAAAGCTCCTGGGAAGGTAGTGGCACACCAGCATTCTAGTGCTTATGCCAAAACAAAATGTGTGGTTCTTGCCACAGAGACTGACCCTAGGTAGACAGACATGCTTCCAAATTCAGAGAGGAAATTCCATGGTTTTGCCCTACACAGTCCTCTGCAAGTCAAGTCATAGGCAAAGGGCACCCCAACCCAGGCTGTGATGTATAAGTGGAAACTAACCTTTAGCCTTTTCTTCTTGTACCAGAAGAGGAGCAGGAAACCTCAGGGGATTTTGGCAGTGGTGGCTCCGTGGTCCTGCTGGATGACCTGGAGGATGAACAGGAGCTGGGACCAAAGGACAAAGAGGGGAAGCTGAGGGTGCATACTCGGTCTGTGACAGAGGATGATGAGGATGAAGATGATGACAAAGAAGATGAGGTTGGGTACATATGGTAGTGCCCGCAGGGAAGAGGACATATGTTTTGCACACAATTGCAAGTCACTTCCTATTCCTGCATTTGTATCTAAGACTCCAAGGTACCAACGTCTCTGCTCCACTGTTGCTCTCTGTACCCCACTGAAGGTTTGGAAGACAACTTCTTGTCCCAGAGTATTCTGATTTTGCATATTGTGTGGGAGAAAGGGTATTGTTTGGGGTTATTTTTCATTTTTTAATTTTTTTTGGACAAGAGAATGGCTGGTTTAAATAGTCTCCTTCCTGTGAGATTTTTGCAATGAGCATGTGATTTTTGTGGAATCGGATAGTGCAGGGAGCCCCCACCCTTGTAAACATCAAAGACCCTTTTTGATTCCCCACATTGGTGGTTATTACAGCATGGTTCCCAGCCTTACAGTGTCTCAGTGCTTTTCTTGTGTCCTGTAGATGTTGTGGAAAACACACCACACTGTACCTTTTCCTCCCACCCCAACCACCCCTGCTGTTTATTATTAAAATTTAATTTTCGTAGTACTATATCTGGCTTCCTACAAATAACAGCCTTAATTCAACCCCTTTGGGGAATTCGTTTATTAAAAAATCAGCATCTGGATACTTCTCTCTGCACATACATAAGTCTGTACATATGTACAAAAGAGACTGTGTACAGGCCTTGCACATACATTTTTCAAAAAAGGCTATTAAAATTGATTTGAAAAATGTTTTTGAATTTGTAAGCTTGTCTAGACCTGGAACACAATTTCTGGAAATAAGAAATTGGTATGAAAGTCCCACTTTGCACTAACAGTCAGCACTTGTAGCCTGCAGGCTGAGGAGGTTTCTTCTCTATGCATTAGCAGAGTTATTAGAAGGTTCTTTGATTTGGATAAGCCTCCGTTTGCCTAAGTCGCTTTTTCCTGCAGAAGCCATGTGACTCTCACTTGGGCAGCTTCACAAGCCATTGCTCTCATTTCAGATCAGAGCCCCAAGGCTGCAGCAGCCGCATCTTTGTAGGGTCCTCCCTTCCCTACCTCTGCAAGGGCTTTTTGGAAGGCGTGCGTGTGCTCACCCAGTTTTCTGAGAAGACAGTACCACAGTATTCCATAGAATACAACTTAGGGTTCTTAACTCAATGTTTTGCTTTTGGCTCCTTTTTACCCACAAATCATGATATTCAAAAAAATATTTTGCAAAAAGTCATACACGGAGGCCTAGAAAGAACTTCAGAGTAGCATATGGAAGCTAGGTTTGAGTTGTCAAGAGCTAGCCCCCAGCCCCCCAGCCCCCCTACATACACAAAAGTCTTGAGATATTACTGCAAAAAAAAAAAAAGCACCGCTACATTTATTTTCCCAGAACTCATTATTGAAGTCTAGTTCCAAATCTAGTAAAGTCATTCTTTAGAATTGTCTCATAGAGTACCAAAGAGTAGTCTTCACAGAGGCCCCATTCAGTTCAGTACCAGTCTGTAAACTCCTACCCTGTTTGTTTACTGCCCCACAGTTGCCCCAATCAGCCCCAAATCCCGGCTCTCTAGGCCACATATCTCTCATATCTCTCTCTTGCTTCCCCCATGAGCTTTACCCAGTCCACAAGACAACCATCAACTCAGGTCAAACAAACAAAAATTATTTATTTACATATATATATATTTTTCTTCCAAACCATGATGCTTGTGGCAGCTGACTAACTCCGACACCAAATTGACCATTTAAATGCAGTAACCCACCTTAAATTAGCATCCTCTAATCCTTGCATAGGCTGGATAAAGTGGTATTATCCCAGGGCTGGTCTCAGATGAGAAATGAATAGACTTGGTGTTGCTATATAGACAATGTATGTACCATCCCTGTATGGAGACCACAGGTAAGCTCCGTATTGGGATCTCAACCCTATCACCTCAGTTTCCATATTTTTCCCCCACTCAAGTACAACACTGCAATGATTTAGAAAACAGGTGCTTAATTGCTGCTAAATTACAATAGAGAACATAAAAATCAAGACGTATTAAAAAATCTCAGTTTACAGCATCAAAGAAAAACACTGTTACTGTGTCCTCCAAGTTTGGAAAAATGCACAAGAGAACAAATTAAAATCGACAAATTGATTTCACTTAGAGGAGCTTCTAGGAACGAAGTGAACCATTGATTTTAATTTGCCTAATTATCTTATGACAAGTATCAAATTAAGATGACACTTAAAGATCCTTAGCATTAACTTAATGATGGAGAAGAGTGCTCAATAGGCAATTCCCAAGAAGATAATGAGATGCCATGTTCAGAGATTTTTTTTCTAAGAAGATATTTTGATTCATTAAAATATTAAACAGAAAGCCCTCGTAAGCCTGGAACCCAAAATCAACAGAGCAACATTAACATCGCTTTTCATGCCTCACCTTGGCACAGCAGCGTTAAGCCTTTAAAGATGTTTAGTAGTTTCCACTCGTACTTAGCTTTAGGTTTTGAGTCACCTTATCCTTTGATGTAGAATTTTTGTTTTCTTGTTTTTGGAAGGGGCCCTTTAATTACAGTAACCAACTATACATAAGATATTGACTTTTTTAAGGAAAGAAAATAGTCTTATAAGAATCCTATCCTTTGTTTGAGACAGGTATTGAGTTCAGTCCTAACTTAATTTTAGAAATTCTTTAGTGAATAGTTTCACATCCTCTGACTGGTTCTTTAACACCATTACAGTGGCATCCAAGTTAAATCCAAGGATTTTCTTTCGCCATGGTTATTTGTCTGCCATATTGATTTCTTTTTGTCTCTACAAATGCTCTTGGCATGGGAATACCTTACTACTGAACTTGAGGTTTTGTACCAGTTTCTCCTTGTTTATGCCCATTGCTCTACCCATAGAAGCAAATGATGTATCTGACCAGGTCTGCCTCTCTGCTCTTCCCCAGATAGCATCCCCATTTGGTTTTGGTTTACCTTGACCACGCTGTAAATTAATATCCAAGCACTCTTTCTACAGTGGGTGGTTTTGGTCTTTTTATACCTTTTTCTCAAAGTCACTGATGTCTGTCCCTGTTCAGTGTGTAGCCTTGTAATGAGAGCCCATCAAATCCAGAGTGTCCGTTTGTTGTCCCTATTGTAGATGAAATAGTGATGTAGAAAAACTAGTATTCTGAATGCTTTTCCATGTAGACTTCCTGGAATGTGAACACAACTCTTTGGTTAATAGCAAATGCTTAACTGTAGTCCTGAGTAGGTGCATTTCTGTCTGTCTCAATAAATTTTACTTTGTCTGCAACATGTGAGTGTTTGCATTTTGTCAGCTTGGATATAAAGTCACCAGGCCAAATCCTATACACAGTCACTGCAGCACAGTCCAGCAGCTGAAAGAACTTGCCACCGAGGCCCTCAGCCAACATTGCCACACATAGGCAGCAGCCTCGCCCTGACTGGGGTCAGCCCTGTCCTGGCATTCACATGCACTGTGCCCACTCAGAGCCAAACCACCCGACCTCTCGTCTGCTTTTGTTTCTCTCAGGCTTTAGCTTTACTCCTTATTCATTAATTTCATTTTTTAAATTTTAACTTTTTAAACACTTTATTTATTTCCTTTCAGCTAGTTTTCTCTAAGTCCCCTGGTGTGGGTAGGAAAGGTTCTCCTTTACAAGCATCCCAGTTTCTCCTCCATCTGTGAATGTACCAAATGCTTGTCAATGTCACCCAAATTTGAGACACAACTATTTCCTTCCAGTTTATCCACATTCAAGCCAGTTTATCTAAGGACTTAATTATACCCCAAGTGAGTAATTTCACCCTGAGCTGAAGTAGGAACTATGCTATGAATAATTCCATTCCTTTACTCCATGGATAATATTTGAGAATTTATAGATTGACAGTTCAAGAAAAGGTACATCGTAAAGCCACAAGGTAACCAATGTCAGGAGGACCATTGCCATTATGAAGCCTCAAAGGCAGTAGAGGGTCCGTTAAAGAGTTGAAGGCATGTGTGGACACATTCCAGCTTCCTGTAAAGTCATGAGGTTTTATAGGCAAAGCCCACGTTTCTCCTACAATTGCACCTTCACGAGTGCCACCTTGATCTCTCCAACACCAAAGGAAGGGGACCAGGGAGCCAGCCCCCCAACATTTTGCAACTGAGTGAATATGTCTTCAAGATATTTGGTTCTAAGATTTTGATATCTTGATTCAACAGAGAGAGGAAATTTATTCTACTAGTAAGCCTTTTGCTGTTAATTGGTAGATTCGTAGATTATTTTGAATGGATGAATACCACTGTGGGCAGACAAAACCCTCAGTTCTTGGATGTAAAAGTGAGACCAATTTGCTCTGAACAATTATCTCCATGAAACATGACATTTAAAAACCCTGACATGAATAATGATGACCATTTAGGTCACGGGATGTTATCTGGACACCAGCGGCTACTCAAGCCCCACTACAGCTTGCCTCCTTAATTCCTTTTATCCACCATCCCCTAGGTTTTCTCAGACCTCTTAGGCCACCCCTCCTGTTGTTTGGCCAGATCTACTAACCTATCTATTTCTCAGATCTGGGTCCCCAGTCCATTTCTTTTTAGTTTTATGTACTTTCTCTGGAGAGTCTTCTGCCTCTAGTTTCAAACAAAGGAATCCCCAGTTTATACTTCTATTATAGGTTTTGACTTTTCTCTGGATTTTACATTGACACCCTGATTTCAAGTCTTAAAAATTCAAAATGATAGAATACATAGTGAATATGTCAGTAGAAAGAGGAATCAGCAAGGTTTTTAAGTCCTTGCAAATAGCCATAAAGAAGAAGATTGATAAATGTATATTCATAAAAATTAATAACTCATCATAAACAAACTTAAATGATAAACCAGAGGCTAAAAAGATATGGGTGACATAAAACAGATGAAGGATTAGGATATAAAATATATTTTTTAAAACTCCTACCAATCTATAAGGAAAATACAGCCTAACATACTAGTGGATAAAAGATAAAAACAGGAAATTCACAGGAAACACATTTCTTATTATTCGTACATCTTATGATGCTTGTGAAGTTAACCAAAGTAACATTAGTAACTGATAACAGAAATGAAACAATTATTACCACACTATAAGAAAAGAAATGTAAATGTTCAGTCTCTGTCTTTTTGTCTCTCTCAAGAGATCTTGTGGGATGCAATGTCTATGTAATTACATGAAGTGAGAAGATGTAGGCATTGTGATACACGGCCAGTCTACTATTTACCTTCCAAGGATGTCAAGGGGGAATCATATGTTTCCATGATGCTGGAACATCAATAACGTTGATGGCTGCATATCAGGAACCAACATCAGTGCTAAGTAGCCTTGATTATTTAAGGCTTTCTTGCTAAAAAAAAAAAAAAAAAAATCCCTGGGAAAACCTTGTATTGGGGTTTGGTTTGCTATAGAGCTTGTAATCCTTCAGTAATGATGTAGGTGCACTTAATGATGAGTATTATACACAATAATTTTGTCCTATCATATGTATGCTTTGTGAAGCCTGTGGGCAAACTTCAGAAATGTCGGCATAGCTGGTAACTGTTTCATTTTCCTTGTTTTGTTCCCCTATAGAGGACTCCACAAGTTCTTTCAAGTTTTAAATTACTAGCAATTCTCAGTGGCCTTAAATATGTTTTTCCACTTCTTCATTAAGCTTGCCTGTAAATCCTTACACACCAATCAGTCTCAATGTATGAATAATTTTCATAACTTATCCATCAGTACCTAGGAAACCTTTAAACCATTTATGACTTAGCACTGTAAGTTCCTTCAGCAGGCACTTATGGTTTCTTGTTTTCATTCATCTGCTCCAGCTTTGATGAATATTATTGTGTTTGGAGTTATGAATCATTTCATCACTGCAGTATGTCCCACTTAGGGTCTGATCAGTTGCTGGTCAAGTGTCATCAAATATCAGGTGGGTGCATGTGGCCTTGATGAAGGGAACAATGCTCTGGTCAAGGTACTGTAGCAGTGAAATTATATTTCAAAGTAAAAATATAGTGTTGGTATTTTCAGTTTCATAGAAAACAGATTTGGACTGCCCAGGTGCATGGTATATTACTAACAGAATTTTAAATTCCAAACATTCCACTTTTAGGTATTCTTTTACTTATAGAGTAAAACATCAGTGAAACCACTCCATAAAAAAGACTGCTGACCCACCTACATTTTCCAATAGTCTTGTTAGAATAAGACCAGGTAATTTTTAGTTTTGCTTTTGAGAACTCATGTGTTCTTTGCTTTGTAAACTATACCTGGCTACATCATATGCTCTGCAATTTTAACATAGTAACAGAATTAACCCAGCCTTTCACATTTTATTGTGTGGTAACTCTTCACTTTAATGAATGCAAGTTCTACTGGACATTTTATTGCAGAAAAGCCTGCTTCACTGAATTGGAGATTTGCTTTGGATGGCATCTTTTCTTCTTAGTTTCTTACCTCTGCTGGAAATGTGGCATCATCTTCTTCATCAGCCTACCCACTTATTTGTATATTTTTTGATATAGATTTGCCTCTGAGTCTGTGTGACAGTTTCTCATATGGATTGGTATCCTTCATTTTAGGAGATCCCTTGCTGAAGTCTTTGTATAGGCTCTGTGCTTTCCGATATAACAAGTTGCTGTCATTTGAAGTGTATTTCTATTGACGTCTTCCACCAACAAAATTTAATGTCTCCTACTTAAGCATGTACAGTGCATTGTGTCCATAAATTTTTCAGTTTCAGATATGACAGCAAAACCGGCATAAATTTGTTTCTTCACAATTTCATGAAGAGATTTGTTCTTACCATATATTTTAGCAACCTTAGCACACAGTTTTCTTTCCTGATTAAGTTGACAATTTTTGCCTTTTCACTTAAAGGCAGTACTTTGTGACCTCCCCTTGGCATATCTGAACAGCGAGCATTACTATGCTTGTGCCCCAGAACCATTAGTAAGTAAAATAATGGTCACTGGATAAAATGCATTGGAATACCAAGACTCATTCTGATAACTGAGATGGTACTAAGAGACTAGTAAGCAGGTAGGGTATACAGCACAGATAGACTGCACAAAAGGATAGTTTCCTAAATGAGATAAAGCAGATGGTGTGAGGCCACATGACTCAGAATAGCACATAATTTAAAACATATCAATTGTTTCTTTCTAGAATTTTCCGTTGATCATTTCAGACATATTGACCACAGTAATTGAATGTGCAGAAAGTAAAACTACAGATAAGAAGGTACAACTGTACTTGGCTTGGTAAAAAGATTCCTTTTAAATTAATTCCTTCGCAGCTCTTGCATTCTACATTTCTCAACTTCTGTTTTTTAAGCACTTCTACTTTCTTAAGTGTCTGCATATGTCTCTGATGGCTCCTTTCTCTAAAATGTCCTGAGAACTCAGTTAAATGATTTATCCTCCAAGAATCCTTCTAGATTGCTCTCAAGAAACTCAGGCATTGGGGCTGGGGATTTAGCTCAGCGGCATAAGCGCCTGCCTTGCAAGCAGGCAGTCGTGAGTTCAATCCCCGGTACCGACAAAAAGGAAGAAAAGACAAAAAAAAAAAAAAAAAAAAAAAAAGAAAGAAAGAAACTCAGGCATTGCCCTCTCTTTCCTCTGGTGCCTTCTTTGTATCTCCAACCTGGAACTTATTCATTTCCCAGGTTCGACTATTCGTTCAAACACGAGCTTTCTGAAAACATGAGATGTTGCAAAATGTTGGGGTAGGGTGTGCCAAATCCTTATTTCCCAAAGAGACATAAAACCAATAGCCACAAACTTTCTAAAATAATCAGATGAGAGTTCTATGAAACAGGTCTGTAACCTGCTTCAAGTGAACACTTAATCAAGAGAAGGGCACATTCAAAATGGGAGAAGATTTTATCTTGGTATAGAGGAGATTGTGGTCCAGTTTCCCATTCCCTCCCTCAAACCAGAAGCAGCACAACCGATTTTATTTGCAGTTTCCTAAGCTGTCGGAAACCCACCTACATAACATAAATAGTTTCTATTTCATCTAAAAAGACTGCAGTCAGGTAGAAGCAGCACACACTGCTCACGGAAGCTGAGTGTGATTAGAATTCCACAGACACCTCGGAAAAGAAGCTAGCACACAGGCATACAGTCAACTAAGACTCCGCACAGAATTTGCATTAGGACTCTAGGAACAGACACATTCAGAAGCAGCTGTGGACATGAGGCATTGAGAAAAGCACACCCAGGCAAGAGAACTACTCGGTTAAGATACCTAAGTTTGTCTTATTAATGAACAATTG